TATATTAGTATATCGCTATTAACCTACTTCGCGTTGAATTTTCCCCCATGTTAAGCCTATCAAATTTTTTAAAAAATAATAATCGTCGCTATTATATCGTTAAAAATTAGAAAATTAAGCCTCGTTTAAATACTGGCTCCCTTTCATGGTCGATCCAGTGTTGCCAGCTAAAACATTTAAAAATAATATTAAAGTAGCCAAGACATAGCCAAATATTGTAGCGCCACATCACTAGCGGACATTTGAATTTGCCGACTAGAACGCGGTCGGTTAATCGGGGTCGGATAATCGATGCTCTACTGTAATTCAATTTTTGTGAGCCATTGACACTGGGGGTCCAGGGCTTTAGCCCTATTAGTCCCTATGCTGACTGGGTACCGCAAACTTTCGATACAATCTGGCCGTGTTAAATGACGTCATGCGCGCCTACTTGTTTGCTGCGAAAAACCTCCACACCGAGTTCCCGCAAGCATCGCACTGACTTACAACGGCTAGCCGCTAGCTGCTAATGTAAAAGGAAACAAAAATGATAAGACATTTTACACGTTAGAATAAATTATTATTGGCATATTTGTTCTCATATAAAAAATATATTGAGAGTCAAAACTTTCTCTTAAGCATGCGACGCATGCTAGGCAAGCCCATAGAATTCACCCTGGTAAAGTCTATGTCCAATGCGCGAATTTGTGTCGTTCCGTTCCGGGTGAACTCATAGATGTGTCACCTTTGTTAGGAAGCGAAGGTATAAGCATATCCTCCAATATTTATTTAATTAATTAATGTTGAAAAAGAAAAAAAAATTTGTTGAGGATAATTTGTAATTTAACAAGTTTAAATAAAAATTTCCCGTTATTCTTTTGAAAACAAAAAAATTCTATCTAGTCTGAGTTCTCACACTAATAATAAATGGGATGCAATAAAAAAATAGCTTTAAAAACGATTACTTTTTAGTAATAATAAGTTAAAGTATCGTTAAATAAAAAATTATATCTTCACCAATTTCCCCTTTCAGAATATAAAATTCTTTCCCATTTTTTCCAGTTGACTTGAAATGTTCCCATTTTGGGGAGAAACCTCCAATCTGGCAGCGTTGTCTTCAGCACCTCTTGTTTAATTTGCTACAAGAAGCGAAGCAGGACTAGATCCTGAACGTGTTCAAATGCTTCTTTTCGTAAATAAAAAGCCTGCAGTTGGTGAAAATGAGAACAATTATTGATCTATTGTAGTTAAGATAACAGTACTAAAAAGAAGGTACTGTACAGTACATGTACTGTAAAACTCAAACTCAAAATAAAAAGATTGAAGTTTCATATCTTAAAATTTAGTGGATTATTTTTCTTTTTACTTTTTGTTTTGCTTTTTCAATTTAGTAATATGTAGAAATAAATAAACAGTTAAATAATAAGTATTAAATAAAATTATTA